TTTCTTGCTCTAAGGCTAAAGTCATTTAAGTCTCTCGTTAACTGGGTCTAGTTGCTGTGCAGAAATGTGTGTGTCACCTAATTTAAACAATACCTAGCTTGTGATTTACCTATAGATCAGAGAATTTTGACCTAATAATTTACATACCTTCCATGCCTAAACCAGCAACTAACATGGATTTTTTTTTGATAAAATGTAAAGAATATGGGGGAGGGGTCATTATGATGAAAGGGGGTCTGGAAATCTTTCTCGTCTATTAAAGAGAGGAAGCAAGGAGAGGTTAATTGCTTAAACCCAGACGTGCTGCTTCTCACAGAGACTGCAGAAACAATCTGCTTTGCTTAGCACTATTTTTGGTCTAATAATGAAAAATATTGAAGTAAACCAGTACTTGCATTAACATCTACTGACTAATAATTTGTTTACTGTCACAGCAATACAGAGGTGATTAAAGAATGAACTGTATTTTTAAAAGACTAAACTACGGGAAACAAGAAGACCTTCCATACTACATACTTCACTGTCTCTGAGAAGGTTCTAATAGAGAGAGGACTTAAGAGGGTCAAGGAGGAAATATTTCTTGGGTGGGGATGGAATTCTTTTAGAGAAAAAGAATCCACACAAGCAGTGAGACTGTTCTTAGTACAATCATGACCTGAGCACCAAATGATTTAACTTGATCATAATATTCCCAAATGGCAGCTGATATTGTAGTCAAAACCAAGGTACTATATATTTGTCTTTCTTTCTTTCTTTCTTTCTTTCTTTCTTTCTTTCTTTCTTTCTTCCTTCCTTCCTTCCTTCCTTTCTTTCTTTCTTTCTTTCTTTCTTTCTGTCTGTCTATTGTCTTTGCATATGTATATATATCTACATATGTGTGTATGCGTGTGTATATATGTATGTATATAGGTTTTCCTTTTAACCTATGTTTGTGGGTCCCTGTGTGAAGGCATGTACATGTGAGGACAGGTGCCCACATCACTGGCACCGGTGAGTCCTCAATCTTTGATGCTTGGGAATCAATCTCAGGCTCTTACCAAGCCAGTTCTCCAGCTTTGAGCTCACAGAGATCCTATGATCTCTGCCTCCTGAATTAGAGGTGTGTGCACTATGCCTGGTTTTAATGTATGTGTAGTAGTTGGTTGATCAATTGGTTGATTGGTTGGAACAGGGTTTCTTAAAGTCCAGGTTGACTTCAAACTCACAGCTAAAGATGGCCTTGAACTCGTGTTCTTTTGGCTTCCGGATGCTACTCAGTGCTGGGATTATAGGTCTGAGCTGCTATGCTTAGTTTAAACGGTCTGCAACACATTAAAAAAATGTTATCCTAATGTATGTGACTCTCGACATTATACATCATCTTGTTCATTTGCAACAAAAGATAAGCAGATTTTTTTTTTAAAAAAAGAACTTATCACAATCCAAATGGAATCAACATGTTTAAAAAATATTTTGCAATATTGTTCTACTAACTTGAAGTTGAAAAAATATTTTGCTTTGCAAGAAGAAAGTCACATAGATGACAAAAATGACTGCTTTGTTATGAGATGAACTTAGAAGACAAGATTGCAAACATAGTCCTTGGTGCCTAGCCTCAGATGACATGGCCTCGCATGAGACTATGACAAGAAAGAATCCAATTGCCTGGGTTAAAGTAAACCTGGTTTGTTCACTTTTACTGATATTTCTAGAGTGATATTGCTACTAAAAAATAATAAAAACCAATTGAAATAAAAGTTTTTAAAGCATGATACAAGTAAGTGTTAGTTACTGTTTATGTCCTATGTAGACATCTTTCTGTTAAATACAGTGATTTTTGCTTACTTTAAAAGACTACATTTTAAACCATTTTTGTTTCCCTTGTATTTCTGTGTATGGTTTTGCTTCTCTGCCAAATTGTTAATTCTGTATTTCTGCCCTGCCTCCAACATTTTCCAGTTTTCAGCCTTTCTTGCAGTTTGTACATTCCCCCCGCCCTGTAATTAGTAACAGTACCAAATTCAATGCTTTATTGCGCTAAGTTGTTGGGTTCTATTTCAGTGCCTATATCTCCTCTTGTATGTTTCTGTTTTCAAGCTGTATGAGAGAAAACATTTCCTTTAGGCTAAAACTTGGGAGACCTAATTTTCACATAATTTTTTTCAAAGAAACTAGAATACGTCTATTCCATTCTTTATGTCGAAGGAGAATTCTACTCTGGCTTTTGCCAGTTTTATTGTGACATATGCTTCATTCCAGAATTTCTAACCATATAGAAAAAAATAAATGGTTTACCAGTAAGATAGGATAGTATGAGAGGTTGTCACAGTGCTCATTATATAAGCATTTATTAATTTCTCTGGTAAAACAAATTTAGCACAATTCTTCTGTATTCCCATACTATAGTATGGCCAATTTATTTAAATGGCATAGAAGTTTCAAGGAGAATAAGAATAAAATTCCCATAATTTGTGGAAATTGAAAAATAAAACCATTCGGTGTACACCTGGGCATGCATTATTCTCTTCCTGCCTTAGCGATGAGGCTAGCGTATTGATTAACTGATGTTCAAAGCTGTGAGATACAATAAGTCAATGACAAAATAACGCTAGAAGAAAAGATGGTTAGTCAGTTTGTTAGACTCGCCCCAAGATTTTAATTGGTGCCAGGCCCAATTCCAAATGTTTTATGAAACAGCAAATAAGAAAGATGAACCAAAAACACAGTAACCGACAGCCAGGAACGCAAAATAGGAAATATAACTAGGCCAAAGGCAAAGCAATGATGACAATCAGCAGTATTCAAAATGAGGGATTTCAGTCAAGAACTGTGTAGAATACAATTGTTTCAGTTCTACTTGAAAACAGTTCGACAGCTAGTACCTTTCCCTTCTAAAATCTCAAATTTAGTAGCTTCAATATGATGTAAGTTATGTACTGTCATAATTATTTATTATTTTGCTGGCTTGGGGTACATTCCCTGCCTCCCTAAAGAAAATCGCAGATTCTACAATGGAACTCATGGCTCTTTTAGGATTGTGTAGCTGGTAGCTCAAAGACTTTAATGTGTTCACCAGGAAAGACAGTGTGCTGAAAGAGTTAAGTTGAGCCTTAAACCACCATACACACAAGCAAAATTAATGGTCTCAGCAGGCTTTGTGTATGCGTGAGTGTATGCGTGAGTGTATGCATGTGTGTGTGTATGTGTGTGTGTGTGAATAAACGCAACAATAAAAACTCAATAAGAATTTGAGAGTCAATGAGGGACTTGGGAGGAATTGGAGGGCAAGGTAGGAATGATGTACTATAAATATAGCATTCTAATAAATTATTTAAATAATATGTTTTCAGAAAGATCTTGTGCAAATGAGCCGAACATGACTCTGGTTAAATTTGGGTTTTATCACAAGTGAAAGTAAATGTATACTTCCTATTTCACTGCCTCATATTTCCTATGAGAGAAATGAAGAAAACTAATATCCATTATAGATGGCGGTTACTTTGGCTAAATAGGTCCTTATTTAACCCATTTAGGACATGGCCTGGGCAGTACATAAGGGTCAGGAAGTGATAAAAACTATAAGGTATGGCAGAGCTTACAATCCAGAGTAGAAATGTCTTCATAACATTTTGTTAAGAAATCAACTGTCACGTGAATAATAGGAGGTTAATGAAATTTCCCAAGCTCTCTGGCCATAAGAAAGCAAATGATAGCCATGGTTTAAACCAGGAAGTAGTAAGGTAACTGATTTCAGATAAGTTTGGAGGAATGTGGCAATAATTCAAAACATTTCCATAATACTGGCCTCTTGAATCCTGCTGGGGATAGCCTAAGCCATGGCAGTTGCTCACTGCCTGCCCTGTAGGAAACCATCCATGTATTCATGGGCCAACTCCTTGGCACAGCTAGGCTTGTTTTTCCTAACATGAGGGAGCTAAACTTGGCATTCTCTGACACTTTTTTTTAATGTGCAAAGGGACACAATAAATTTAAAGAATTATATGCAAATGTGAAGTTCCCCAAATCCTTTTCAAAGGGATTTTTAAAGACAAAAGAATATTATCACTAGAGGACTGAACTCACATGGGGAGCTGAGAATTTACAGTTGAACAGAATGGCTGTTCTCACATTCCAAGCTGAGATAAACTTGTTCCTGGAGTATCAAAATGTTTATCCAGGATACATCTCATATTGTTTCCCTAGCAGCATCTCACAAAGCATGTATCAATAAGTAACAAGGTATAAAACAACACAGACCTTGCTCCAGACAATCCCCATTACCCCTTTCAAACATGAACAAAGCAGCGTAGAATACCATTATTCCATATTTAAAAATTATAATATGATAGATTTGAAGATGAGAAAACACAGGCATGTATTGATTAAAAAGTGAGAAAAAGAAATACAAATGTTTTTATGAGCTGTGATTAGAGTGTTCCCATTATAAAAAACATCTTATGGATGATGACTTTTATACACATGTCTCCAGATTGTAAAGTACTGAATGTGCTCTTGAAACAATGAATGACATCAAATCTGAAAAAAATAGGTTGGTAAAAAAATAATTTTTTAAAAAAAAATTTTGAGAAGTAAAAGGTCACATTTAACAGCAGTATTTTGTACTTTGCACAAAATTATAGCCAGGGAGATTTTATGACAGGCAACACATTTTTTAAAAATCTAATGAACAAAAATAGCCTGGATAATTAAATTGTTCAATGAAATTAAGATATATCATTAAATATTATTTCTCTTTTATCCAATGTATAACAACCCCCCCCAAAAAAATCCCAAAGGGCACAGATCATGGAATATTTTTCAGTGAATGACTCTGAAAGAAAGAAATAAAAAAAAATCAATAAATCATTTAGTAAATAAAAATGTGTTAAGCATGGAAAGAGTTTTCTGGAGGTCAAAATTCCACTCTTCACTATTGTCCTAGATCTAGTAAACCCTAAGGTCACCCTCTGAGTGAGGTCACACTCACTCTCCTTGATGAGCCTCTGTGCCATTAGCCATACCTGTGGGTAGCTGTCAGTCCTTGGCAAAACTGATATGTCGTAGGTGGCAGCAAAATGGCTTTTAGCTTGCTGGATTTGGCCATAACGTTCTCTTTTCCTCCACTTGGCCCTTCGATTTTGAAACCAAACCTAGTGGTTTTTTTTTTTTAAAAAAAGAGTATAATTTTAGCTGAAGAACATTCGGTAAAGCAAATTTTGACATTAAAATTTTCATGCCAGAAAGGAAAACCAAGTCAGTACAAAACGAAAGCAAAGGAATTTCTTTTCATCAGAACAGGATTCACAGGTTTCGCGTTGTCTTGTATTCTGATAGGAGGCATGGTATGTCCAAGAGGTAATGTAACTTAGTAGAAAAAGTGGGGTTCTAGACAAGCTATTTTATGTATCTGTGCCTGTGTTTTTATTTGTAGAAAATCAAAAAGGAATTTGTGCATATGGTCATTCTTGCTGATATATATATAGAATCCTTTTTTTCCTCCAGCCAATTCATAACCCAATTATGATTTTTGCCTATGGACAAATTTTCTTGAAAATGTGTCATAAACAGAAGACACTCCTGAGATGAAGTTATACTTAAATGATCTTACAAAAGTCAAAGACTGCTATTTTGTCTAAAATGATTGGCAACAGTAATACCTTGATTACTTAGAAATAGGAAAATGAGGTGGCATATGCTGTGGAGTATCGTAGGGCTGACCCGTGAAGTGCAATCAGCTGACGCTAAACTGTGGTTTTAAAACACATAACTGTACTTCTTAGACCCGATTAAAACACTTATAGATTGTAAAATAAATGAGGCAGACAGAACCATATGTCACGAATGCCTGTGAGTTCATCTGCTTCTCCCAGGTCATTAAATGCCTTTTACGGTTTCTCAAATTATGTCTTAGAAATCCTCCTTCACACAACGGTATCCCTGAGAGGAATCCTTACTTCTCAGGTCTTGCTCTTGAATTTTTAAAATTCTAATATTGCAGTATTCTAAAAGGAGAAACAGAAAATTTTATTTTAAATGAAAAACTTTGATAGTTTTGAATAAACACCATCTAGGCAGCATTCAGGAACCACTCAGTCTTCTTTATATAACTACATGCAGGCTCTAAATGGTTTAGAAAGACATTGAAAATCAAGTATAAATAAATATAAATTACAAATTTTTTTTCACTAAATTTTACTTGAAATTTGCATATGCTTTTCAAATACCAAATTCTAATTTTGTATATTTTATACCATCACAGCCTTTGCTGTCTGTTAATATTCGGTTCAAGGCCTACACACATATTGCAGATTATGGTTTGAATAGTGTTCTGAAATCATCAGTCTTTTAATAGCTACCTGTTAAGTATTATTCCCAAGTTGCATTGCTAGTATCAAATAGTGCCCATCATTACTGGGCTATGAGGAAATATGGGGAGAACACATATTTTCCTGGGAAGCACAAAGACTACACTGAAAAGCATAAGTGCTTTCTGTCTCCTCCCCTGCTCTGTGACAGTCTTTAAAATGGGCATCCATTTGCACACGCCTGTAAAATGCACTACCTGCACTAATACGGCCAGGTTGGCTCGCTCTGCAAGTCCTCAAAGAGATATGGATCTGTCCTGAAGGAAAAACATGCAGGCAACAGCTAATCAGTCTGCATGTAAACATATTTTTCTATGGTAACAAGTATAACTAATTTAAATAACAGTCACGGGACAAAATCACATGCAAGACTGCTGCTAATACTAGACAGTTCCAACATTCTTCATTAGTGCAAACTTTAAGATAGAATCACCCTTTGCTTCAAGAATGTTAAGCATAACCTTCTGTCTGTTGTCCCTGACTCACCCCATGTGGTCAGAAATGACAAATGGACCATACAAGTAAAACTAACTTCATTAACAAAGGAAAAAAAAAAACAAAATTTGTTCATCTTTCTATTTCAATAATTGAAGAGAGAAGGAATTCAATAATGTGGTAAAAGTATATAGAAAGGAAAAACGCCTTTTGAATTATTGTTGCCTTTCAAATTTGTACTTATTACTTAACAACTAATAAAGTGTAGTTAAAAAATATCAGCTTTAGCCACAATAAAATACTGCTGAGAAGGCAGGTAACATTTTATCCAGTATAAACTTTTCTTTTAATTCTTTTTTACAAGAACTTTAATGATTTGACTAAATAGCTAAGAAATATAAACAAGTACATAAAAATATTTAAAGTACATTGTTAGTAATTACTCTGAAAAAATGTACACTTACCTAGACCTTAAAAAACAAATATAATGGTATGCACTTAAAATGGTTGGGGCAAAAAATTATAAATGAGTCATTTTACATTTCTTAAATTTTATTATTATACATAATTATTTAGAGTTAGTATTATTATTTCATTTTTTCCATCAGAATAATTCCAACCTAAATAAAGATTTAGATTTATGGGCTAGTATTTGAAAAGTCTGCCAATAATTCATATATAATTAAAAAACAAAATCATAATAGTTGAAAATAAACCAAAGATATAAATTAGATATATTTACTTATTAACTAAAGGTAACTATGAAATTTGGGTTCTGCCTTTTAAGTTTATCCTTTTTTAATCAGAGATATGGTACCATATTCTGTTCTTTTCAATGACCTCATTTTTAAGTTTCTGGAATAGCTCTGGTCCCTCAGCTTAGTGAGGGTCAAACTTAGTACAAGCAAAATGAAATTTTAATGGGCCGGTTTGCTCACACACCACTTTGGTCCAAACAAGATTTCTTATTCTTATATTAGCTCTCCCTGAAAGGCCACCAGCTGGGACCTACCTGGACCCTGGCCTCAGTGAGCTCTGTTCTCAATGCGAGCTGTTCTCTGACATATACATCCGGGTAATGGGTTTTTTGGAAGACCTTTTCTAGTTCCTCCAGCTGCAAACTGGTGAAGGTAGTTCTGTGTCTCCGCTTCTTGCTGCTGGATACATTGCTGTCACATTTGTCCCCAAGTTCATCCAGTTCGCCCTTCTCGGGCATCCCTTTCACCGGAGACATCCTGAGGTTGTTGCAGCTGTCCATGGCTCGGTTCAGCTCGGTGTGAAGGGGCTGGCCTTCCACTTTGGTGATCCCATAGTTTACTGTACTCGGAAGGGAGAACAGGAATTCTCAGGAGAGTGCAAGGTACTTTGATGAAGTAACTAAGGCAAACTAATTTCAAGCACCAGAAAATAGGTTGGCTAATAACTTACCAGTATTCTCTCATCACACGGTGTGCAAGGCATAATTATTAATTCACTGTTGATCAGGCTTAAAAACAGTTATAAATATGTACACGGACTAATCATTTGCTAAAGTCCATAGAACTGTTTTATATGGCAAATGTACTGCTTATGCATATAATTTATAATCAGATTAAAATAGTCAAGTGAAAATTTGCCCCCCAGACTTAAAAAAAATTCTAAACCACCAGGACTTTTGAAATATGTACAAAACATATAGCATATGCTTTTATTTTGTGCATAAGATAAAATTAGACTACTGATTTTTTAAAAAGTGACACTTCAAGTTTAAATAATACCTATCTACTAACACTAGATCTATCTCCCACTCCCCACAAAATGATGCTGAGCAGAGATTTCCGTTAAATATGATTTCTGTTACAATTCACACATTTGAGCTCGTGTCTGAATTTAAATTTCCTGCAGAAAGCGATCTACTAATTTTTTTTAAATCTTAGCTGAAGTTCATTTAATAGAAATGTATAAGATTTAAGTGGACCAACCCATCTTTACATTAAAAACGTCTTGCATCCCTTAAATATTTCATACTTCCCTTCCATTTAACTCCTGTCTGCTTAGGTCAGAAGGTCTTTTTTTTTTTTTCCTCTAAGAACGCTCAGAAATGAAAATTACAAAAATAAAGTAAAATTTAAAACGGCGTTTTGCACTCTGTCAAGAGTTATTTTAATTTCAATGATCTTCTTGAGATCGGAGAGTTCAGGCTTGCAATAGAACAAGAAACTAACTGTAACGCTAAAATTCACAAATACCATGAACTTTGGAAGCAGGAGCGATTTGGGGTTTGTGTTGTTGTTGTTGTCTTGTAAGAAAAACAAAGGCAATCCAACCAGAACACTAATTCCCAACCACTGATTGTACTTTTTTCATTTGCTTCTTTAAAAGGGGGTGGGGGTTGGGTTGGAGGGGTGGGACGCCCCATAACAGTTTGAAGAACCTTTTCATGAGTTCTACAAATGTATTGAATTTTACTGTCTATATAATTTAAATTGCACATTGATCTTAAGCAAAGAAAGAAGCGATGTAAAATTAAATATGAAGAGGGTTATGACTGATGAACAATAAGGTTTTGTCTTAGCAGACAAGAGTTAAACCGGGAACTGCGGCAATTAGAGTTGGGGGAGGGGAAGCCGCAAGACGCTGGGGGCAGGACTGGAGAAAGACTGGCTTTTTTTCTCAGACATAGCCGGTAACCATCCGTGTTCATTTTGTTCATTGTTTCACCGTTAAAACTCTTCCAAACAGTGAGAAGATCGCTTAAAAGTTAAAGAAGCACTCCAAATCAGTCAGGATTGCGCTCTCCCCTTTCCCCGACAATTTAAAAACACTGTGGAATTTATCTAACAGTCAGCGCAGGCCACTATAAAACCATTTGGAAAAATCCTGTCAGTTCAAATGGCTTCACGCACGCATCTGAAAACACAGACGCGTCCGCCGAAATGCAGCCAGGAAGCCAATACTTTCTTGTATGTAAAAATGAGCTGTTCCAGTCTTTCCAGATAATCGACTGAATGCACTTCGGTATTCGTGTTCTCTATCGTATGCGTTTCTTTTTGTTACAACCGAACAAGTGAAACGTCGTCCTCCGCACTGAATAAAATTAGTGGGCTATGAGATTCGTTTAAAATCTGCGTGCAAAGTATCGAACGAGTGAGCTGCCGAAAGAGTAAATGCCTTGCCAGATATTTGAACTTCCATTAAAACAGAAGGCGGAGGCTTGTTGTAAATATTTCACACTTGATTCGTTTGTTATTTTAACGCAGCCCGCTCCTTACAGCTTAGGGGTGGAGTACACACTTTGATAAGGAAAAAGTCCTCTTGGAATCGTAAACCCGTTTTAGCGGTTGGGAAGTGAAATGAGAGGTCTGTACTGAGCTACAAGATAGAAAGAGATAGATGGTTTGTTTTGATAACATTTTGACTTGGGAGAGACTCTGGCATTCAACGTTGAAGACTCTGTCCAGAAGCATTCCAAAAGGCTCTTTAGGTGGCATTTTTATGTGGAGTAAGATAAAAGTAGACTACGCAGAATCCGAATACGAATGATGTTGTCGGGAAGGCTTTGCTCAAAGCCAATGTGACTTGATGTTTAAGAAGAATTTGTGTGTGCAGGTTGCAAACGCAATAAATAAGTAAATAAAATCCGCACAAATCGGGAATGCACACAAGCTAATAAAGAGCAACAGAAATATATACACCATCTTTACAATGAAAATTTCATCACGTCTCAGACACTAAACCCAGTTTTGTTTTTATTTTCTCCCCACCTAAAAGAGTTCAAAGATTTTTGATTTCCAGACCACTGTGACGTCCAGTGATGGATTTTGCGTCCTTGCGCCCTGGCATCCCGGCGGGGCGGGGATCCCAAGGAGGCGCGCTATCTTGACTCAAATACTATCTTTTTACCTATACTGGGGTCCTGGCCCCGTCCAGTTTTAGATTCTTTTGGACAGCAGGATGGGGGGGGGGCGCTCAAGATTTAGCCCTGGACCAGGGTGTGGTGCTGGAGTACCAAAGCGTGAGAAAGTGCGGGGCCCCAGGCTGCCTTCTTTGGTCCCCCCCCCCACAGTCTGGATCCAAGCTCCCCCATTTCTTCACTATGACCCTGCAGCGCACAGCACTTTGGGGAAGGACAACTGAGGCTGGTGCTAAGGCTAGAGCCCCGGCCCGGCCACCCGGAACTAAGGATAAAGGATGGGGTTGGGGCAGGAGCCCGGCCCCAGTGACTTACCGCTGCTGTCCTGACAGGGCGAGGTCCTGTCCAGGCGCACGTGATGCTCAGCTCTCGGCAGCGGCCCGAAGGCCTGCACGCATTTGCCTGCCGTTGCTTTGCCGTAAAAGGACTCATTGTCCAGGGTCTCCATAACGTGCTCCAACGCGCCTCCTGTGCCCATGTAAAAGTCACTGTTTTTACTTGGCGGACTTTTCAGGGCAAACTTCTCACTCAGAAACTCCATAATCCAGGAAGGCTGTTCGCGGCTTCTCGGGGCGCGGAGGCTGGAGGGCGCTGAGGGAGGAGGGAGCAGTGGGCGGGAGGAGGGAGGGTCAGAGAGGAGGGAAAGGGAAGCGAGCCCCGCGACGCCAGGAGCTGCCCAGCTCCCAGCCTCTTAATGCGTCCCGGCTGCAGAAGGGACACCCGAAGTTGCTTTTATATCTTGAAACTCAGCTGGGCTCCTCCGGCAACCTCCCAGCCCTAATGAATATGAAAATAGGCAGGGACTAACTCCACCCCAGGGCTCCCCCTTCTCCCCCCACCCCACCCCCATCTTCCCTACTCACCCACCCAGGGCAGGGCGCGCCCCGGCCTAGTTCAGACAGACAGCTTCATTTCAGACAAATGCCAGGAGAGACAAGGTCCCGACACCCAGAAAACGTAATCGCCTCAACAGTGGACTGGCATTGCAGAAGAGCCTGGTGAGAACGCACAGTGGTTAACCCTCCACTCCCAGCGCCCTGCCGGGCCATCCCACCCTCCACCCCCCAACACCCGCTGTCTTCCCCGCCCCCACGCCAGCCACTCACTCCCAGAAGATTTAGAGGCATCTTAAGAACTTGAAAGGAAGTATTGCTCTAAAGAGCTTTTATTTCATCCCTAAATCGTTTACGTGGAAGATCCACATTAATCTGAGCCCAAGAAGCCGGATACAGGGGCAGCTGTTTAACTGGGTTGCTGGTGGTAGAGGGGCCGAAGTTGCCTCTAACCTAAAAGGCTGGCGTCGTGGCGACAGGAGCGCTAGCCAAGGCCCCGGTCTCCAAGTTTGCTGTGGGATGCTGGGGCTTGTGGATGTGGGTGGCATCGGGTGGGAATGGGAGGTTGTAAGAGTCCTTGAAGAGACCGAATTTTGCCAATACCAGTCAGCGTCCCCACCTCTTCGCTTAATCTACGCCTTAATTACTGAGAACAAAATTATTTCTTCAGAAAATTCATAAAGACATGTGCCTCCGGAAAAGCCCGTTCTTACTGGAGGTCAGAGGAAGGCTCATCACACAAAGTATTGTGATGTGTGTGTGGCGGTGTGTGTGTGTGTGTGTGTGTGTGTGTGTGAAGGCCTTCAGAGTGTTTTTAACAAAACCGTTACTACTTGCAGTTCTCAAGCGTTGGGGAAGCGCCTTGGTAAAGGGGTGGGGAAGTTAGTGGCTCCCAGGATTGCTTTTGGACGCAAGGTTGCAGGCCCAGAACCTTTGGTCCAGCTGAAGGAGATGCTAGGGCGTGTGAAAACAGCGCTTTAGAGCTGCAAACCATTCTGCTTGGCCTTGTGCCCGACTTCAGCTTCTGAGGAACCCAGGGCGACTGGGGAAAAAGTGTTCGTTGCCTTGGCACATACAAGATCACCGAAGCTTACAGATTTGGTGAAGCTCCCCTACAAACTGTGGACGAGGGAGGTCTCTGCTCACCGGTCCTGACGCGGCCTTTCCCATCACAGGCCTTCCCAGCGGGTGTCATTTTCTCCAGGTTCCTTTCGCTAGAGTCATAGACACTTGGGGCAGCCCTGCCGCAGCGGGTGGCCTAGCCCCGTTCAGAAGAATGCCCATTAGCAAGGGTTCGGATTTCCACGTTCTTCGGAGTTCTCCTGACCCACGCCTCACAGGTGAGACTCTCTTGGATGCCCAACCTGGCCAAACTTGGGAAGATTCCCGGCACAGTGTGCGCCAGAACTGCTGATTTGCACTGTGCCAACGGCGTGGCTGGCGATGAAAATGCAAATTCCTTCGAACGAAACCGGAACAGAAGAGTCAGGAGCAGCCTTCATATTCGCAGTGCCTGTGGTCCACGACAGACAGTTCTCCCAAGGAGCGGCTCCTGTGGAGATTTGCTCAAGACACTGTTCTGCCTTTTAACACCGTCTATTAGTTCTTAATTGTTGTCTCGGGAGCTTTAGCACCAAAGGCAAAGTGAGGAATCTCAAGAGTAGTCAAAGAAAAGCCCCCTGGGTACAGCGCTTTAGCGGAAAAGCGAGTCAAGACTCCAAGCTGGGCACTCTCTACCGTGAGAGGCCAGAGTTGCTTCACCTTAGCTGGAACCAGTGGAAGAGGGGAGGAAAGGCCCAGGAAATGTGTGCGGGAAGTCTTGCTTACAAAAAAAAAAAAAAAAAAAAAAAAAAAAAAAAAAAAAAAGATGCGGTGTTCTTCTGATTGTTCCATGTGGGCGGAGGTAGATTGAATTTGTTGGCTTGGCAATTTTGCGGGATATCACCTCTCCCTTTTTACTCTATCTTACCTCTAGGTATTTTCAAATCATGCTTTGCCCTAATAAACACGGGAAAGACGGAAAGAATAGACGTTTGTTGGGTCTTTCAGATATTCATAGCAGCAAGCGCTCCGCTCCCATTACTGATGAAGAACTATGTCGAGAATTCCTAGTTATAAACTTAGCTCTGTCGTACAGCCATGTTGGTCTGTTTATAAATATGCGTTTTAAGGGCTCCAAATCCCCTGAAAGACATTCGGTGTCTTTTAAATCAAAGACATATGATACCAGCTCTCCAGGACTTGTATACCAATAGAAGTCCCAATCCGAGAAAACTGCAATGTAGCCCAGGTCCCCTGGTGTCTTGAAGCCTTTTCCACCACATTACCCAAGCCCACTTCTGATTGAAGAGGTTGAAAGGGTGGGGTAAAGGTGTCACCCTCCCACTTCAGACTCCCGAAACCTCCTGGAAACTCAAATCTATTACACGGAACCCCTTGTGTTTTGTGACACGCAACCACATATGCCTGTAACAGAGGAAAGAGCTAATGGCAAACTCCCATAACGAATGCATAATCTGCAGTTGTTGGCAAGAAGGTGGGTCTTTGGTTGCCAAGCGCTGCATTAAATAGATTTTGAGAAGTTGAGATAGAGTTTACAGAAATGACACAGCCCTAGCCATTAGGTCATTAACATCTATTCAGAATACTAATTAAGGCAATGATAATTGAGTTGTTTCTGGAAGTCACAAGAAGGTGAGATAAAAATGGGACATCATTTTACCTGTTTTTTTTTTCTGCCTGTTGGTTTGAGAGATAATGTTGGAAACAGACTGAAAGTCTTTGATAAATGCAACTACTCCAGACAGATCTAGCGTGGGTGCTAACTCTCTTCTAAAATTGACTACTTCTAGTCTTTGCCTCATCCCAACTCTCCCTGATTTGAACCACCTAATGCCAATGATGGCTGGGAAGGAGGAACCAGTTAATTAGGTCAGCATTTAAGGGGTTATATTTTTCCTCCTCATCCTCCCTGTCATTTCCAGGTTCACATTTCAGGTTCTGCACTTTTCTTTGCACGTTCAAAACTGGTGACCTGAACTCAGGACACACCTTGCTTCTTTTCACTTCACCCAACAAGTCAGTCTGAAGTAGGTTGCTGGGCATCTTTATCTCACCTCCTTTTTCTCATGTTTGAATTTTGAGGGTAGGCTACCAATGGCGATGGAGGACCATTGGTTTTTCTTTCTGAGCCTGAAACCATTCTGGATGGTCTAAGGATTCTAGCACTTTTAGATCCCTGGAAGTTTCATAGTTTCTGATGGAGCCTCAGCACCTGTGGAGGACTTCAGGAAGGAATGTATAAAGTAAAGAAAGCAAGGAGATGAAGGGAGTTAAGAAGACTATTTGGGGTGAAAGTCTGGGCTGTTCTCTCCTCCAGTAACTTAAGATGTGTTGCAGCGAATGGAGATCATTCCTCTGGCATCAGGTGTGGGCTAACACATCTGTGAAGATGACTGCTACTCCCTTCTGAAGTCATACCTAGCATTCATTACTTTTAGAGAGCTAACTGTTGAAGCTGGCAGTTTCCCCTATAGAAATATAATTTGGGTATTTATGAAATTGTCTTTATTTGGCTTTCCTTCGAGGAATAAAAGTCAGAATAAATAGATGAGCTAAAGTATTTGAAAATCCCATTGATAGGATTATTTTACACTCCCCTTCAGGAGCATCTAATTAGAACATCGAGGCGAGTGATTGACCTTATAGGGCAGCCTCATTCACTTTATACTTAAGAAAAGAGAGAGAAGGAAGTCCCACCGGTAAGAGATGCTCTGAGTCATGCTCTTCCACATGCAAATGCATTTTGGGAAAGTTAAGATATTTCTATTTACATAAAAGCTGTAGAAAAGGCAACTTGTGGAACTCTTGTTTCTTTCTCAACTCATTAAATGAAATGCCATGTTTGTATACCAATAATGGGCAGGCCAAGATAAGACTCCAGAAAATTTAGTTTTAGCAAGGTCTTATTGCAGAGAGTATTTGGAACTTATGAGTAAAGCTTGGATTCCTGGGACATGCATGTATGCTGAATCAGGCAAAGTACACCAAATGCAGAAATGCAACGGTCTGTAGAGTGGGGGAGGAGCTGGCAAGAGAGCAACTCTCGTGAAAAAGGACTAAAATAATTGAATGTCATGTTTCATGGCAGGAAGCCAGGGGCCTCCTGTTTGTGTATGCTCTGCTGCTGAGTTTCTTCCCTGGCTCTGTCTTCAGCCTTCCCACAGTTCTGCAGAAATAATTGATACAGAAATATATATTGCATCGGAGCAACTTCGTAGTTTTCACACACACACACACACATTTAAAATATGTGTCTCAAGTTATAGTAGCCCCTGGAACTTGCCTAGAGACCTACAGACAAGTGTGGAGCTTGTGCTATTTGTGAATTGAATCATGTACAACAGTGACCTGAGTAAAAAAGAAATGACTCTTGAAGACTTTCAAATGTGCTGTTACAAAGCCCTCCGACACTAGGGACTATGCTCCTCTTGACTTCAGTGCTAATATTATTTGGTATCCCAAATCAACTCATGAGGTTTCAGAGAGCTGTATATGTTTCTGAGTTGCAGCTGGTTTCAGCAATAGCTTTGCACATAGTTGACTTTTCTTCAAAAAGAAGGGATGGGTCTAAATTCAGTTCTCTGGTTCTACAGGAGCCAAGTCAAGTGTGAAAATCTCAGGAGATGATTTATCCTTAATACAAATGATTTGACTTTTTAGCTACTGGTTATAT